GTTTAAGAAAAAAGCTTGATAAGTATATGAATGAAAAGGGCTGGATTTAAAATTATTTTATTTGATTTTTTTAAATCATTTTAATTTAGTTATGTTATGTTTGTGGTATTTTGTGATTACTTTGTGATAATTGGTATACCATACAGTCCTTTTTTTACTTTACAGCACCAGATTTGTCCTGTCTTTTAAATTCTGGCCACATAATTTTAACATAAACCTTTTTTACTCCTAATAAAAACAAAACACTCTTCAAAAGTCCTTCAGTTTTCATGTTATTTCATGTCAATTTTGTACTTGCTCTTCTTTAACAATAATGTTTGAACTCTGATTGAAAAATTATTATACATGTAATTTGCTGACACCATAAGAAGGCATGTAAAATAATTGATAAATTAACTTCAAGAGGTTTCTCAGACAACAGGAAAGATAATGCATCTAAATGTTAAAGAGAAAACTTTGTCTCATTGTTAGACTAATGAGGTAGATCAGGGAAAATTAATTTTCACCCATGCTTTAAAAGTCTTACTTTTCATAGTTGATGTATGTCACCAAGTAATGGTTATCAAGCAATAGTTTGTACCATTGTTAGCTGGTGTAGCAAACCTATTATGATTGATTTAATTTGATGAAGTAACTACTATTGTAAGATGGTAGAAAATTGTTTATATTGTGCAGGTCACAACAAAACTACTGATAGTAATTTAAACACTCACATGAAACTGAAGTTTTTAGAAACATCTCTCACTATTATTACTTATCTTTTAATTTTGTATTTTGGAATTACCTGGTAATACAGCACCCATCAAACTCAAAAACAGAAATTACTTAATTATAGAAAAAGCCAAGGTGACAAAAGACCATTTGTCATACAAAAGATATTCTTCACAAATCAAACACAATTTCTATCTGTACTAGTAGCAGCACAACTTATTATTACTTCACTCACTGTTTAGCTAAAATATGACCAGCCTTTCATAAACTACAACGTTTAGATATAGTACATTAGTAGCAAACAATACTACTAGTACTAAGTTAAACTTAAAGAAGTATTTTCACTGATACCTTAGTTACCTTGAGGTTTCTAAATAATACTTTACAACCATACTATCTGTAATGTCATACTCACTGACAGTGACAATAGTGTTAATACTAACAGTAATATCATCAGTTGCAGACAACTAACACTGCATTACATTTAATGAATTATTCAACAAGTGAGGGGCCTGCTAGTGCTATGTAACATTTATTTTATAAAACATGCAAGTAAGAATAGATAAAACAAGTGCAAGCAGCATAGAAAATGAAAAAAATAAAAGGAACAATGTCGCTGTACTCAGCATTCTGCAATCACTGAAATAGACACTTGCGAAATGCCGGTTGCCGAGCATGGTCTAACTCTACTCTAGTATTATTACTATTAGTGTTAAGACTAAAAATAAAATATTCACAATGCCAACAAACAGACATCACTAAGAACTTGAACATATTGCTCTACTTACTTCTTGAACATGTTATATCACGTTAAAAATTACCCACACCTTCACAGTTCTTTCTTCTTGTGTTCCTCAAAATTAGTAAACACAAAACCTCAAATAATATTCAGCTGTAATTTGTAATTACGTGTAACCAACCACAACTAATCATCCATGAAGAATAGTCTCGTACACATAAATATTATAGAGGTCACTATTGAAATTGATTATATTTATATATATTATATATATATAAACAACATAATATATATAAAACAAGCAGTGTCAAAGTATTTTACACGGAGGGTTTCAAAGAAGACGAAAATTTGTGCGTGAATTGTTAACTAATCAATATAACATCTTGTGCTCTTATTGTCTTAAAATTTTTATAAGATATAATTCAAGACAACAATGAACCTGTTGATCTATCTAGGCCGTCCCATCCACTAAGCTAAACTTTAAAATAAAAATGAAACAGTCCAAGAAATACCTTATAATTCAAATAATTATCACGCCGTCCCTTAAATTCTCTTAAATTTACTGCATCCACTGCATCTGAAAGTAATTCAATGGAAAGGCCAATCACCCTGTTAGAAAAATAAAGCTGTCTTAGCTGAAGATGACTCCTACCTTGCAAAACTTTATATTTTTGTCCTATAGTTCTACCATTCTCGTCATTACGTATGAAAAAATATAACGTATTAAGAATATTAATTCCCTGACTTGTTTGGTGAGACGGTGATTCGAGTCGAGCGCCTTAACCACCTGGTCATGCCGGGCCCGAACACTTCACACTTAAATGAGTAATGATCATTTGCACCCAGATGTTCCCAATCTCCAAGCTATCAGTCATTTCTATTTTAGAAGTTGACCGTAAATCTAGAATGAATTGTTTCTAGTAGATTCCCTGATCTCTTGCTGAAGAGAATCTGGAATAGTTTCTAAAAAATCTGTCTCCTTCAGTGTTTGACTACAACATTTCCAAATAGATTCAACATCCTTGCTGTTAACCTTGCATATTCAACTTCAGTAATTTGTTAGTGTTTACTTGTTGTTGAGCACAAAGCTACACGATACATATTTCTCCTGTGTCCCAACGGATATCGAAACATGATTTTTAGCATTATAAGCCCCCAGAGTTACTGCTATACCTCTGGGGGCTATTATTAGAATAATCCTGATATTTCACCACATCTAGAAGATTCCGTTATAAATAAGTTCATAAGTAAAATTTGTTTTCTGATATTCACTTATAGCCAGTAAAGGACTATCAGTCCCTTATTCTAAACTGATAGACTAGAGAGAAAGCAGCTAATCAACAGCACCCACCGTCAACTCTTGCGTTACTCTTTTTTTTGCCCAATAGTGGGATTTGATTGTTATCTTTATAAAACATTCAGGTAATTAAACGTGTACGTTGGACCTGCAGATCCACAGTCCGGAACGTTGTGTCACGATTGGGCCTCAAAGTAAGGTAATAACATGTCGTGTTTATAAGTTGCGATCATATCAACTAATGATATAGATGGCTATGTATGTTAAGAGATCCTAGGTATTTTTCTGTTGAAGATGGTAAGTTTAGTATAGGAGTAATAATTATTTTTTCTAACTTATTGAATTCTTGTTTACAATCAGCAATCCAATAAAATGTATTTGGTTTTTCGAGTAATTTGGGTAGAGAACGAGCTATGTCAGAGAATGATTTTATAAAATGACGTTAATAATCCAATAAATCCTCTTACCTCACGCAAGTTTCTTGTTGTTGGCCAGTTCTAAACAGATATGTTCTTGGATTGGTCTGTAGACACTCCCTCCTTGCTGAGTTCCAAAAAACTCACACACTGACGGACCAATTCACACTTCTTGAGATTCAGCTTAAGGTTTCTTTCCGCAACTTTTTAACCCATCATAAGCACTATCAAAGATCTTTCCAAGTGTGATTATGTCATCCTTATAGATAAGTACAGCGTTTCAGGGCATTTCAAGAATTAACTAGACATTTCCTGAAACCTTGTTAGGTCCATTTGAGGATTTCATTTAGGGAGTCTTGCTGCAATGTCGTTCGAGTTAGAATCTGAGATTTTTTTGTCGACGATGTTACTCTTACTTTATCCAGCTTGTTGGTGAAACACTTTTTTGTTTGTTAAAGAATAACTTACAAAGGTTTTTCTTTCTAAGTGGTGAAATTTGATACTCACTACTAATATGATACTTAATACTTAATTTGATACTTAATAGTAATACTAATGTGAGATACTCAATATCTAATTTTATACCTAATACTTAATGTGATACTCACATGCCTCCATCCCCTAACTGCTTTCTATACACTGTTTTAATAATCCTAAATCCATGTAATAAATATTTGATAAAATATATTCAAAATATTTGTCTGTATTGAAAATCAGTAAGTTAAAGTAACAATGGAAAATAAATAATATGAAAAGTAAAATGCTTGTTTATTTGTAGTTCAGCACAAAGCTGCACTAATATCGAAACCCGATTTTTAGCGTCGTAAGGCAGCAAACTTACCTATGAGCGAGGACATACAACAAAAAGAGGTATAGACGAAATGTTATTATACATTCTCTTTTTCTTGGAATCAGTATTAAAGATTGATTGCCTGTCAGATATTATTGCGAAACTTTATTGCTTCTTTTCTTTACAGTAATATTAATAAATAACATAACACTCTCGACGAAACTTCAGCTCTTGGTACAGGCTGATCTTTGTCCACTAGGGGCAAATTTTATATGTAATTACTTATATTATAATAAAGCTACAAAGTTATCAGCGTCACAAGAACGAGGAAACATTGTCATGTTTTGGTCTTTCTGTCTGGAGTAGATATTTAAAGCAACAATACTGTGCTAAAGTGTTAGGTCAAGAGAATATTTTGTCATTATTTCCATTTTATGGGTATAATTCTTCCATACCATTACAGAATGTAAATTTCAACTCTACGGTAATGATTCACTGATCCCTGTTGACAACAGAATGAACCAGGATGAGAAAACTTGTCATTCTTTAGAATTCCCATGTACTTGTACCAAGGGCATGTCACAAGGGTTCTGCTTGAATAAACATACTGATCAAATTTAGCGTCTACAATAACTGTCATGGTACCCCATGTAGTGTCTTAACTATATAGAAAGAAGCTAGCATATGGTACAGCTATATACTAGAAGAAATCAATTTAATAGCACTCCACAAATAAACCTTGATAAAAACAATGTTTAACATTATATATTAAGTTTTGTTGTCATGCCACGGCCCAAAAAGCGTAGACAATTGTCAATAGAGCAGATGAGTCCAAGTTTGAAATATTTGGTTCAAAGTGTAGGTTTTACGTCCGGCGGAAGAAAGGTGAAATATACTTACCTCAGTGCATAACACCTAACATGAAGCATGGGAGAGGCAGTATGATGGTTTGGGGGTATTTTTCTACTGAGGCGATAGGAGATATTTGCAATATAGATGGAATAATGGACCAGCGCAAGTACCATCAGATATTGATTCGTCATGGTATACCCAGTGGTTTGCGTATTATTGATAAAGGATTCTACTACCAAGAAGATAATGACCCCAAATACTCATCCAACCCATTCAGAAATTACTTAACTAAGAAAGAAGCTGCTGGAGTCATTCAAATGATTCAATGGTCCCCACAGAGCCCCGATCTCAACCCAATTGAACAGGTCTGGGATTTGATAAATCAAAAACTTGACAAATCAAAAGTTACTTCCAAAGAAACTTTATGGGAGTGTATTAGAGACATTTGGAGTAAAATCCCAAAGGACACTTTGATTAAATATGTTGCTACAATGCCTGAGAGACTGTCTGCAGTTATTAAAGCAAAAGGGGGACAATAATATTAACTGTTTCCTGAACTCAAACACTTCCATTGTTGTACTAAATATGAAAATTAATAAAATTTTGAAGTTTCACCTGTAATTTACCTTCCATTGTTCTTTGAATGTAGCCTGAAATCTAATTTTTGATTTTGTCCTAACACTTTTGCACAGTACTGTATATTAGGGTTATCTGCGCTAGTAAACTCTAATTTTGAGCTAATAGACTAAAGGGAAGATAGCTAATAACCAACACCCACCGCCAACTGCCGAACTGCTCTTATCCTATAAAATACTGGGATTTAACAATCACTCTTAAGCACACCCATGATAACAAGGTGCGCAACATATTTCTGTGGCAAAAGGACATGAGCCCGAATCGCTAGTCACTAGGCCACATCCGGTCCATAATGATAAAAGACATTAGTTTTTATTTTAAGAATGTTCTCATTGTGTTTAAATCTTGTGAAGATCGTGAAAAATAGTACTTCACATTCTGTACTTCAGTGAAAAAAGTCACTTTTTGAAACCAATCTATATGCAGAAAGCTTTAGTTTTGTCACATCAGTCGGTATTTTCTATATAGTTCGGAGTCCGTGAAGAAAGGACGCGATTTTATTATTAATAATGTAAAAACAGAAACAAGAAAGGTCGTATCTAGGTACCTTTATGCAATTAAACAAGTAACTACATTGTCTTAGGCTATAGTATATATTTGTCTGACAGAAAATTTGAAAAATCAGTCGGTGCTTCTGTAAGTTTTGTAAATCTAATTCATTTTAATGTATTTGAACCAAGTGTTTTAGATGTTCGCTACCATGACGTCTTGGAGTCGTAACATACAAGTTTGAAAAATAAAACGTAAAATATTTAAAAAATTTACTCAGAAAAACACAGTGGTGAAATATATTATTTATTTATTTTGTGAACTACAAAGCATCATTTGAGATGATATACCCAATTTAAGTAATTATTATTTGTCTCTAACAGATGGCGGCACAGGTACTATTTCTATTTCTTTAATATTTTTTCATAACGTTCAGTTTCTCCATCTCGAAGTATTTTTATTTTTCTGTACGGTTTATAGATGTTTTCAAAAAACATTTCCTACTTATAAGTTTGAAGTCAAACACAGCTTTAACTAATTTTGAACGTAAGTTGCTAACTTCCTGTTATTTCAAAATTTAAATTACAGAGATTCAAACAATTTGAATATCCGTTTTGAGATGATAAAGTACAAATAATTTGACCTGAAATATTTGAACGCAGCATCATTTTGTTTTGTGTTAAACTTTTTTAGATATCGTAGTAATACGATTTTTTTCCAGACTGAAAGTAATGT